GCCACGGCTGTGACGGGACCTACGGGTCACCGTAGAGGTGAAAACTAGTCCGAATTCAGAGCTGCTGGGTTCCAGTCTTAACGGTCTAGCGCTAGACCGACGAGGACCCGTACTCCTAAGCATCCTGCCCGGAGATTCGGACACACCCCCAGTCCCTCCACCGTGTCCTGGGTCTTTCTTTAGATCTCCTCCCAGTTGGACGTGCCCGGGAAACCTCACCAGGAGGCATCCTGACCAGATCCTCGAGCCACCTCAACTGGCTCCTCTCGATGTGAAGGAGCAGCGGGTCTGCTCCGAGCCCCTCCCGGATGGCCGAGCTTCTCACCCTATCTATAAGGGAGAGCCCAGCCACTCTTCAGAGAAAACTCATTTTGGCCGCTTGTATTCGCAATCTCGTTCTTTCGGTCACTCCCCAAAGCTCATGACCAAAGGTGAGGGTAGGAACGTAGATGGACTGGTAAATCGAGAGCTTCGCCTTCTGACTCAGCTCTCTCTTCACCACGACAGACCGGTACAACGCCCTCATCAATGCAGCACCAATCCACCTATCGATCTCACGCTCCAGTTTTCCCTCACTTGTGAACAAGACCCCGAGATACTTAAACTCCAGCACTTAGGGCAGGACCTCATCCGTGACCCGGAGAAGGCATCCTACCCTTTTCCGAATCAAGACCATGGTCTCAGATTTAGATGTTACTATTATTTTATGAATTTTTTTATATTATTAGTAGAGACACCAGGCACATTACCAAAAATAATGTCACCATATTGAAGCCATTAATTTAGCTCATTTCTAGAAATCCTACATTCAGGACTTTGACATATTTCAGCCTCCGGCAGATTTTTCTGCTTTCGTATTCCATTGGGCTTCTCAAACACATGGGGAAACATGTGGAGGCCATTTTTTTTGGTCATTAAAGTTACCAAACATGGTTCCACACCCCAAGCTGCAGCATTTCTGGTACCCGTAGTTAACCTCCCAGCTGCTGCAAAGCAAATGGAGAGTTTTGTGGATATATCTGTACCAATATTTCCACCCCAGCACATGTTTTTTTTATTTTTACAATATCGCACTTTCCTTGGCCGTTACTGTTATTGTTGCCTGGAGGCAATGTTTCTTGTGTTTCACGAGCCCAGTATCAATTTATTATGGGGTGTCTGATGTTTCACTTCCCAATCAAATAAGGCAACAGCGCCAGAACTGTAAGCTGCTTTCGTTCATCAAGCACACTGGCATCAGCTGAGTGATAAACCCCCTGAAAAGTGTGTGGGTGGTATGGGCTATTTTCTCTGGGTGGTCATATTTGGGAAATGTGAAGTCCAATAAAGTTGAATTGTTTGGAGGGCATTCTCATTCAACCCACAACAGATGTACACAACGTCCTGAGGTTTAAAGCTGTTGCAGCATATTTACAGTTATTGCCTCCATGTTCCCCTCACCAAGTGGGAGATGCAATTCACAGGAGCTTGTCAACCCTGAGACTGAATGAGTTTTTCTTGGAATTCTTCTTCAAAACTCATCAAGATCTCTTCAGCGCTGGTGTCACTGTGAGTAAGCAGCTAATGAATCAGAGACCTTCAGAGAGAAATGACTGACAGCAGGCAGCAGGGATAAAAGAAAGGAGCGAATGAGTGCTCTGGCTTCTTGACCTCTCAGCACAGCAAGTCTTCTAAGTTCAAACTTGTAGTGATTATAGGCTGAGCTGGTCTTTAAAGTACCTGCCTCTCTCACCTCAGCTGTGGGTTTAGCAGAGCATAGGTGGGCAGGGTCAGGGGTTGCTTGGTGGGGTTCTGGAGCCAGTGAGCCTTCATCATTGTTCAGGCTGGAGGAGCTAAAGGGGCAATGGGTATTGGTGCTGAAGGTATTGCCTGCTAATGACAGGGTGGTACAACAGCGTTAGTGCATGCGTACGTGTGTGTGTACATGTATTTACATATATGTATATATATACGCCCCTCATTCCAGGAAGGACCCATGAAGAGGTGGGAATAGTGAAAGTAATTAGAGATGATTTAGGACTAAAGAGAGGAAATTGATTAAAGAAAATGAGTGACCAGGAAGGAAGCAGGGATCCTTGTTTCCCCCCTTCAATTACACTGAGATGTTTCAGTGGGCTTTCTGTGTGAGATGCATATGGTAGAGCTGGAGTGTGGGCAAGGGGTTGGGGGTGGGGGGTTGTAAGGGGGAGGAGGATCAAAGATTTGACATTGATGGATGGATAGGCTTGCATCAGTCTATCTGGAGGTTATGTGTGTGATACCCTCTAACCTTACTATCTTAATTGTGGTGATCAAAGGAAAAGCCATCAGTTATTGGTTGCCTGCAGTAGCACACTCACAAAAAAGTATTTTTCCAATGCTTTGTGTGTGCGTGTGTGTGTGTGTGTGTGTGTGTGTGTGTGTGTGCGTGCGTGTGTGCGTGCGTGTGTGTGTGTGCGCGCGTGCGTGTGTGTGTGTGTGTGTGTGTGTGTGTGTGTTTTGTATATTTCCAGCATTCTACTAACCAATTGGATGGATGGATGGAAGTCTTGGTTAAGTGTCTATGGTTGGATGGAAGGATGGATGGAACAAAAAACATATTCCAGTATACATCCATATTCCATTAAAATTTAAAATATTTCACCTTAAATAATGCCTTGGATAATGGTAATGAATGGATGGATGGATGGATGGATAAATGGTTACAAATAGATGGATGGTTTTAAGATCAAAACATTTTTTCTTTTTAGTTTTTATGTATTTTCAGAAATGATATCCAAACTTTTACCCAACAGGTTCTTTATCACCTTATTTGCATTTGTAGTGAGGTGGCTGTAGGACATCTCCTGGAGCAGCCTGATGATTTCTAAGTTTTTATATTTATTTTGGAAAATGTACCTTCATATTTTGTTTGACTTCCTGGTGTCAAGTTCTTTGACAAATAAATGTTGGTCTTGAATAAAGTCAAACTGACAAAAGTCAGCTGCAGGTACAGTGGTCATTTTGAAAACAAGACATTTGGCAAACATGAGTTTACAGGTGGGCAGTGGCGCAGTGGTTAGAGCTGTTGCCTTGCAGCAAGAAGGTCCTGGGTTCGCCTCCTGGCCTGGGATCTTTCTGCATGGAGTTTGCATGTTCTCCCTGTGCATGCGTGGGTTCTCTCCGAGTACTCCGGCTTCCTCCCACAGTCCAAAAACATGACTGTTAGGTTGATTGGTCTGTCTAGATTGTCCTTAGGTGTGTGTGAGTGTGTGTGTGCATGGTTGTTTGTCCTGTGTGTCTCTGTGTTGCCCTGTGATGGACTGGCTCTCTGTCCAGGGTGTACCCCACCTGATTGCCCGTTGACCGCTGGAGATAGTCACCCCCCACCCCCACCCCCCGCGACCCTACATGGACAAGCGGGTTCAGAAAATGGATGGATGAAGTTTACAGGTTGAAATTTTTTACAAGGGAGAAGTAACAGTGAAGAAAGTGTGTGTGTGTGTGTGTGTGTGTGTGTGTGCGTATGTGTGTGTGTGTGTGTGTGTGCGTGTGTGTGTGTGTGTGTGTGTGTGTGTGTGTGTGTGTGTGTGTGTGTGTGTGTGTGTGTGTGTGTGTGTGTGTGTGTGTGTGTGCGCGCGTGTGTGTATGTGTGTGTGTGTGTGTGTGTGCGTGTGCATGCGTGCATTCGTGTGTGTTTTGAAGAAAGAGAAAACAGGTTGTCAGTGTGGTTGAACAGCAAAATAGCATTTTCTCCCCTGGGCTCAGCCTCCACAGATGTTTCATTCAGGACCCATGGCAGGGCCACTCTAAAAAGTGCTCCAGTTCAACACAATTCAGCTCCTTTGTGCACTAAAGGAGAGAAGCTCAGCCCACTGTTTACTGCTCATCTACCCCCCCCCCCCCCCCACACACACACACACACACACCTTTTCCAGCTCCACCAACTCCACATCCAGGCCTCCTCCTCCTCCTCGTGTTAGCAGGCGGAACAATTGGGGAGGGCCATGCCCAGAGCTGGGGCGGTGTGGCAGGTCAACAGAATGGGCTGTGAATCCTGTGCCTCTGAATCCTCTGGGTGGGTGGTCTAGCTCTCTATCCGCTCAGAATCTCACTACACACACACACACACACACACACACACACACACACACACACACACACACACACACACACACACACACACTCACACACACGCTCCTCTCCTCTGATGCTACTACCGCTGCTCTTTGGGCTCTCTGACGTTGCCCGGAGAGGAAGCAAGATGTGGGACACGGTGGTCCCAAACAGACCCGGTGAGACCCGGTACAGCAGGAGGGGCCAGAAGCAGCCCACGTGGAGCTTGCCAGTGACTGGGTGGCAGTTAACACTAATCCTGCTGCTGATTACCATGGGCACAGGCAAATAAACCATAATACTTGAAGCTGCAAGGCCGAGCACACACATGCATCCTCGACACCTGAACAGTCTCATATGCACACAATAAAACTAAAATCTGGATTAATTTGTACCTTTCCTGTTTAGTAAACTCAAATTTGATCTAAAATTGGTCAAAAACTGCAACAACAATCATTTGGCATCTCTTTAAAAAGAGTCTCCTCAGTTTGAGTGCAGATCCAACTGAATACATGACAAAGTTGTGCTGTTTGCCTTTGATATCTAATTTCTTTCAGAGAAAATGATCTAGTTAACTTTAACAAGAACCTGGCAGGCATTTTCCTTTAGTCTCAGTGACATCTAGTGACCAGAAGGCTGAACTGATGATCAAAAACAACCAGCACGAAGTTACTTTGCAACACTCTTGGATCCTCAAAAAACAGACATTTTTTTTATTTGACATTTGTTCATATAAAAGACATTAAAAGCATGTCTTTACAAGTAAAACTTCAAAATACCAAAAGTAGGACAATGATTGGTTTACAAAAGTAAATAACATGAAATATATCTCTACCCAAAGCATCAAAGTTCTGCTAACAGTTATCTACATCACACAATTGCTTCTTTTTGCTAAGTATGTGGGATGTGAAGCAACGTGCGAGCAGGTTCCTCTCACTTGTTCTGTTTGAGCAACACAGTTTTTTTCTGAGCATCCTGCTGTGGTCAGAGCCGTTGATCCTCATTTTTCTCACCAATTCTGTCAAACGGTGAGAAAGAAAAGCAGCACGGAGCGTTTCTCGCATCTACTGATCAAGACTCTTTACGTCTGCTTTAAAGTCTTCAAACAAAGTTGCGATGTCATCAGTGTCTTTGTTTTTCTTCGGTAAGTTCTTGTTTTTAATGAAATAAATATATTTCTGGTTAACCAAATTTGAATAGTGATGCTAAACTGAGAAATAAATGGTGTTAAAATCGAAACATTTTAGTTTTCAGTTGTTAAATGACTTTTTTAGGATTTAAGTATAAAAATGATTGTAATGGATGATTTGAACTGGGTAAGTGAGACAGACCCATGAAGAGAGTTTTGTTACAATTTACTGAATCTATGATTGAAACTATAAAGAGACATTTGATTCAGTAGATTTGACGATGACATTGTCTAACTTATTTTTATTTCTTTATTCAAGAAATTCTTTTGGTTTCTGTCGTGGCTGGTGAGGCAACAAGTGAGCTGCTCCCCATGAGCTTTGGCAACAATTTCACCACCCTAGAACCCATCAGCACCAATGAAACCATCACCACAAATGTCACGAACCATCCTTCTACCACTTTTACTCTACCCAACTCCTCCACACCAATGTACACCAACAACCAGAGCTCATCTGTAACCACTGGTTTGTCACGTTTTGGACTTTTTTTTTTTTTTTACAAATTTATAAATGTATTCAGTTTCCTGTTTTGATGATGTATGATGTGCTTCCTCCTTCAGGTTCGAATGACGAAGATTCTAATGATAACGTTCGAGGAAACACACCTACGCCTAAGCCCAAACAAACCATCATGACCACCAAAACCACAACACCTACCACTACTAAAAAGACAAGTAAGTTGCACCTAAAACCATCGTGTTATCCAAATGCGAAAAAGTAAAATGAAAAAAAAAAAAAACTCATTAAAATTAACTGAATTGCAGCTTGGATAACATTTAGGGGTTAATTAAAGCTGCAACAGCAAATTTGGAAAATAAATTAGCTTAATTTTTTTTTCTCCATGCCTCTTAACATTCTAACATAGTATAGCTATACATATAATGTAGAGATTTTAAAAAAGGAATAAAGTGGTTCTCTCTCATTTGTTTAATAAACTATGCCACTAAAATGTTTTGGACTCAAAGCAGCCATTGGATCATCCTGTAGTCGATCTTACGAAACTTCCACACTTCCCTGGGTCTTCCACACATTACACACTCATGTATTTAGAAACAGAACACCACTGGTGTGAGAGGTTCTCCGCTCAGCATGGACGTAATTTTGGGGGGGGGGACATGTCCACCCCACTTTTTCCAAAGTCAAGTTTTGACCCCTGCACTTTTTACCATCCAAAAACAATATTATGCCATATTAAATTGACACTGGTTGAGCTCTAGGACCAAGCGGAAAACAACCGTTTGTGTTGAAGCCTGATTCCCATTAGAGCATACTGTAAAGATACCCCCCCGTGTCCCCCCCACTTCAAAAGTGAAAATTACGTCCATGCCGCTCAGTAATAGAAGAGAAACTGCCGGCTGCTACCCTTGGACGTAGTTGTGACTTTAGAAGTGAAGGGGGTGGCACAACTGACATGAGGACCAGTGGGGTGACCGGGGGGGTGGGGGTGGGGGGGTCTTTACAGTAAGTATACAAATATATATTTTGTAATGGGAAACAGACTTCAACACAAGCGATTGTTTTTCGATTGGTCTTAGTGCTCTACCAGTGTCTATTTAATATAGCGTAATATAGTTTTTGGATGGCAAAAAGTGCAGGGAACTAATATTGACTTTGGAAAAAGTTGAGGGGACATGACCCCCCCCCCCCCCCCCCCCCCCCTCAAACAAATACAAATAAAAACTACGTCCATGCTGCTACCACTTCTACTTTAGGACAAACTACCAGAGTTCCTAAAAGAAAAACACCATTTGAAGTCACAAACAACAAAAGAAAACTGGACCTAAAAAATGACGACTGGTGTTTAGCGCTCTCTCGTTTCCTCTGGCAATGCGAGTTTCCGGGTTTGGCAGAGGTGTTTAAGGGGACATACCCTGGGGGAGGGATGAATGTTCCATGGCTGTGTTTGTGCTCAAAACCTAGCTTGTTCTGTAGATTCACCACAGCAGCTTTAAAATGATACCATCTCATTAATGTTTAGACAAGATGCTGAATCTCATCTGAGCAAGCGTGTTTAAAAAATATTGAGAGCTGGAACCATGCCAGACTAAAACCTTTTACCATATGGTTCAATAGAGATGAAATGACAATCAGACACAGAGACACAAATGATGATTAATGTTAATTAGATTAAAAATCAAATAACTGTTAGAAAAAGTATCTGTGTGTTGTTAACCTCATGCCTGAAGCTGTTGTTTGGAAACGTGGTCAGGATGCTGCTGGATAAACCAATAGAATGAATCTAGGGCTGAACATCAATCTCTCTCTCTCTCTCTCTCTCTCTCTCTCTCTGTCTCTCTCTCTCTCTCTCTCTCTCTCTCTCTCTTCTCTCATATATCAGGGGGCTATTTCATTAAGTTATTATTGGTATCAAATTATTGAGAACCGTCTCCTAAGAATTTGGAAACTAAGATATTTTGAACTACAATAAACCAAAAATATCAGTCATTTTAAATATGAAATACAACTAAAGCTTTTTTTTTTTTACTTTATATCCAGTTTCATGTTAATGGCTTTTTTTTCACAGGCACCACTGCTAAAAATATCCACCATACATCTAACAGCGGTGACAAAACTGGTAAGGCTCTATTTTAACAAAAGTGTTTTCCTAATCCTAAGGTGAACATTAAACTGTCATCTTGGATCTGGACCTGTTTGTGTATGTATTTTTCCAGGAATCATTATTTTGATTGTGCTCATCCTGTTGGTTTTGGGGTTTGGGATTACTTGTTGCATCATTCAAAGGAGACGTTCAGTAAGTAAAGCTGAGCTTTAATAGCATGACTCTGGTACATGTTGCATGCATATACATCATGCCCTATTATTTACTGTTTAGTAAAAGTCAAAACAGGAAAGATTCAGAACATTTTGTTTATTGCACATGAAAAGATAATAATGAAAGTAATTTGAATGCTTTCCTCCGGCAGCACCTCTCTGTGAATTTTACCACCTCCAGAGTCGATGAAGTCAACATCCCTCTCAGCGCTGCAGAGCCTGAAGTTGGTTCTGCACCTCTAAACGGTCAGTCACACATCTCTCTGTTAAAGTAATAATTCTAGCAACCAGCCCAAATAGCTTCATTTTAACTATTTAATTTTCTATTCCAAGGACACTTTTCAGGCTTCCAAAGCCTTGAAGGGACTCAAACAACTGAAAAAGTGCCAGAAGTGCCTGAAGGGAATCTTGAATCACAGGAGGAGCAGAAAGGTAAGGAGAAAAAATGAGTTTCCATTAGGATTTTTTTATTTTTCTTGTATTTGTGGAGCCCCACTAAAGTAAAACCAAGCACTCTAAGAATGCACCTTTATTCTTCCAATTTTTCATAAGTAGAATCAAAGGAAATACAAAGTTACAGACAGATTCATAAAAAAATTAACTCTTCATTCACCCAAAGATCTCAATGTAAAGCATCAAAGTTGTGAGTGAAATAAAGAAAACGTAACCTGCAGTTCTGGAGCTAGCCACATGGTGGAAATGGAAGCTCACTTGGTCTCCAACACTCTTATTAATAGTCATTATATGTGAAAATGTAAGGAAACAAAGAGCCATTGATTTTATGTTAATACAAAAAGAATTTTTTTCAGAATTTTAATTAATATTTTAAGACAAATACATTTTCTATCATTTTGATTTGATTGAGTTTGATTGGCCTGTAAATTACTTTTCCTGTATTTCTGGGCTTAGACGAAGAGTGGTGGTGATGAAGATGATGATGGTGATGATGACGATGAGGGAGAGATACGATGATTGTTTTGAAAAGCATAATCTCCTAAATTGTCTGTTTCCTATCTGAGGATAAAGGTCATACAATATATCAATTTTTGCACAAATAATTTATAATTTCATGCATATTTTAAGCTACAAAAAAAACATTTTTTTTACAATTTTATCTAAAAAAAAATAATGTTCAGAATGTGATATAAAGTTACACGCAGAGGGCAGTTCTTGAAGTGGGTGTGGATTTTTCTAACTTAAAATCCCAGAGAGCAGCAGCGTCTCACCTAACACGTCTACAGTCATAACGTTTTTTATGATGCCGTAATTAAAGTGTTCTGTTGCTTTTGCGTTCTGTGTCAGTAACTTATTTCCTTCCATGAAAAGAAAACCACGAAACATGAAAATGTTTACTGGATAAAACAACATCATCGTGCGAGCCGGTTGCAAAACAATGCTTGAATGAGGAAACAGACATTTTTAACCCATTACAAAACTTGCTAAACTGAGAAATGTTACAAGTTCCGTTCTTTCAAGATGGGAGACGTGTTTAAAAAAATCTTCTTGCATAATCTCCTTTAACTTTTAATGTTCTTGAGCAGGATTCCGCTAACAGGTCATTACAGGTTACAGAGGAGCTACACAGGTGTTCTCATGCTGTAGACGACTCGTGTGCTCAGGTTCCCACAGAATCAGAGCTCTAATCAGGCGAAGTAAGTGAAATCACCTGAGTGGGTGGAGTAGCTCGGCCTTTTAAGTAAGGAAGTTCAAGCAGGTGGGACTCACTGCTGACACAAGAAAAGATAAAAGCTCTCCAAAAAAAAGTGTTGCATAAAGTTTGTTTCGAGTAGTTTCTAACTGAAGCCTAGAATAGACCGTCATTTGCCGAAGCTAAATAATTATGCTTTGCATGTCAGCACTCCACTGGAACCTCCGCAGCACCAGCCAGTGTCGTGACTGGCCAATCGCAGCGCAGTTATTTAGTAAAATTATGCTTTTTCATCTTCTTCCCTGCTTCTTCCACAGGCCGTGTTCGAGATCTGTGCAGATTAGACCGCCGTTGATTGGCGAGCAGTGCTTGCCGGTTAGATTTGTGTCCGACTTGACGCCAATTTGCTCTGACGTCATGCATACGTAGGCAATGATAACCTCGTGAGGTCAAGGTGGCCGCAGAGTTTGGAGCAAGGCGCTGCAGTTGCTCTCCACCAGCTGCAAAACATAGGGGATGATGTGACACACCTGGCTCTCGCCTGATCTAAGATCTGATTGGTTCCCATTTTGATCCAAACATCCGCTGGTAGAATGTTAAATGTTAGTTGGTCACATGTATTCTGCAAATCGTGTAACACTGATGATGCCAAAAAGAGAAGTGTGATTTGTTTTCTTTTGTCACATTTCCTATACGTGCACTAAAGCTCTACAGCTGATAACCATTACTTATTATTACAGTCATAACTTCATATACAATATATGATATCCACAAGCACATGAGGATGTGTTTTGGTTGCTAACAGGCACCAGAATTTAAATTAAAAATTAAACAAGCATAAACTCTAAAGTGATAGCTTCATCCGTTGTCACCCGCGAGCTACATATCTGTCCGACTTAAACGCCGGCTTTCAGCCACTCCCCCTGCTGCGTCCGTCTGCTCTCGTCTTGTTTTCCAGGCGAGGCGCAGCTCAACTCGAACAAGGCCACAATGTAGGGTGGACTGCCCCATTGACTGACATCGTTGGTGGTCCAGTCACATCACTCTTGGTTTGATGAGCAAATGACAGCACTTTGTCAGTCAGGTGGACAGAATGTTTGGCCCAATACTCACACTTTCACCTTTGCGCCCTTCAATTGCACGATCCCGTCCAAGGGTGCGAGTGTGTATGGTGCGGAAGTTGATCACACCCTATTTGCACCCTTAATCCTCACTTCGCCCAAGTCTGCATCGAAGCGGACTTCAGCTAAGGGTATTACCCACAATCCATTGCTGCGTGGGAGTTTTGAGAAGAAGGTAGGACAATGGCTCAAGTGCCCTTTCTGAAAAATACATGTTTTCACATGAAATAAGCTAATTTTAGGATAATTAATGATGTTTATTAATCTTCTGAATGTTTTAGACTTAAGTTTTAATACGGATAACAATGAAAATACATTTTGTCAAATAATTGTATGTTTGAAAATTGTTAATAAAAGTTTTTTAAAAAGTAGCACAAACAGCGACAGCAACAGCAGCATTCTCTGGTGGAAACCGGGATCAAACCTACAACATTCCGACCACTGGACATCCCATCCTACCTCCTGAGCTACTGCTGTCTCTGTCATGTTGTTTGTTATCAATAGCACGTGGAGACAGTTTGAAAGAGGGTTAGGGTTAACCGTAGCTTCTGCCCCATGACTGAGAGCCGTCAATGGGTCGTGGCAGATTATTTATTCACATATACAGGATGACTTGCCAGGCTATTCTAACTGAGAAATGACCCTAAAGTATCTAGGATCTTGTAAAACACTGAAGAAATTACCTTCTCTAACACTTGATGTGTTTTACGTGCACAACGGAAAACCAGACCTTTGCCTTAAAATGAACTGCTATTGTTTTTTGTTAAATGCATGTAAACGTTTTAGTCTGGCTGAAGGCGAACCGGTTCTAATTAATTATGCGGTCGGACCGACTTCCTCTGCATGTAAACAGCTTGGTCGAGCTAGTACAGGTTGGACACTCACCTTCCAGAAATGGCGAGACCGCAGAAGTTGTCTTCTGATAAAATCATTGCCACAATGTACCACATGCAATACCATCAAACAGTTCAGTACCAAATAAGCTGTGCTGCAGCATTATTGTTGTTTATTCCTTCGGCCTTTGTTCATGTCTGGTTTTACTCCATCTGCTTCACTACAGCCAGTGTTGGTGTAATATTTGTGATGCTATGTCTATGGTTGCTATAGGCCAGGGGTCGGCAACCTGTTCCCATCAAAGAGCCATTATTACCCGTTTCCCACAGTGAAAAAACACTGGGAGCCACAGCAGCCGCGGTGTTGTGGGCGGGGCCTACCCTCAGAGAGCTGCCCACAACAGGTGACAGCAGCCAGTACCGGTCGCTCGTGTACGTCAAAGTTATCTTTCATAAGACGATAATCAATAAAACGATTTATATAAAGTGGATCCAGAAGTTGTATAAAGTGGATCCAGAAGTTGTAGCCCATCTCTGCCTACAATATTTTGATATTTTTCACCCTGTTGGTGGTTTTACTGAGTAGGTGCCCCTTTTGTCATACATTTCTTTTTAAAACATGTTTAGACTGTTCAGAATACAAATCCAGGCTCTGTCACGTTTGATTGTTGTAATTAAACTTTGTAGGTGGGGAAGGTCAGAAAAGGATCCGATCATTTTGTTTTCCCCTCATTTACAGTGACGGAGATAACGGTGCAGTGCACCTGGCTCTGGTGTTAATCAAGTTAAATTATATCTCTTTGCAACAATTTTCACAAGAAAACAGAACAGTTAAAATCAGGGCTTGTGTTGACCGGATAGTTCCCGTATTTGACCGTTTATTTTGACGGAGAAGGAATAGAAAGAAATACCCCGACGCAAGCAGACGAACTGACATTTTATTCTACGCACATCGCAGATGTAGCTAAATCACTCAAGAAAAGATTCCCATCTGAGCTGGACACTGCTCAGCGCAGCTCGCTGTCAGTGCGTACGTGCGGTGCACAGCGAGCTGAAGATGTGGAGAGGGGCTTGGAGCGTGTCGCAGAACCAGAGCGCATGCAGGAAGATTCCTCCGACTGAAGCGAGACTTGTCACTTAGAAAATGTTCCCTGATTATGAAACTTTGGCTGAATAGAGCTTGTTCCTGTCTCCAATGTGGCGACACATCCAGGAGCCGTCTGAGGAGAATCACAGAATCTCTCATCCTCGTCAGCTCAGAAAGCGCTTATGATTACGCACAAGCGTGACGCGTCAACCCGGTCTCACAGTAAGACCGGGTTGGAACTGTTCAGGTTTACGCAGACTGTTTACATTTAGAATTGGCATACAGATGAAAAATTAATGCAGTAAAATATAAAGCATTTTATTTAAATATCCATTCATTATTTTACAAGCACAGAGAGCCGCATCAGATGGATGGAAGAGCCGCATGCGGCTCCAGAGCCGCGGGTTGCCGACCCCCGCTATAGGCTAACCAGAGGAATACGTACATGAATAGGTGCAGTGAAATACACTTCGGTTCATTTCGGTTGCCCAACGTTTACTAGGATAAAAACTCCCAGTTTATTGCCTTAGATCGATTTGATACGCGGTGCTGAAGGCTACATGTTTTACCATCAGAATTAATAAAAACACTGCAATAAAAATTGAAAAATGTTTTATTGTTTTAATTATTCTATTAATCTTAAGTGGCAGGTGCTCTCCGGTTCTGTAAGATCAGAAGTGTTGATTCTAATGTATGCATGTGTTAAAGAATACTTTCCTCCTTTCCCTAGTGAAATGTGTTTATGGTGTACCTTGGCACACAACTGTGTTATGTAAGGATTACTCTGATTACTCTGATTACCCCTTTTGTCCCATTTGGAGAAACTAAATTTGATCATGTCAGATAACATCAATTATTGAGTAACCTTGACTACAATGGTGCCTGTATCCATGATTTAAAAATGCAAGTATTATTTTATATTTTAGACATTGCTAGGCTGAAGGTTTCCACCCCCTTTACATTTTTTTGGTTTTATCTGAGAACAAAAATATGAAAATAACCATTTTCTAAAAATACTAATTTTTTTAGTTAAGGCAGAGGGAAAAAAAACAGAGGGTCGGGTTAGAGAGCACCAGTGTGGTGGATGGTGGAATTAGCACCATGACACACACACCTTCATCCCTGCATTACCTCCACCTCAAAACCAGGTCAGAAACTGATGGGGCCACCCTACTTTCCCACTGCTTCCCAACAGCTGCATGGTTGTAGCTCATTAGGAGCCAGTCAGTAATCAGTGGCCTCATTATCAACAAGGTGGCCCCTGAAAATGCTGCTACCCAAAAGAGTTCCTGCCTGACTACAAACTACTTCAGGCTCTATAAGCAAAAGGGTTGTCATTTGTTGCAGATAAGTGCAAAAACTTCATTTTCAAAAGCTAGAACTGCAACTTCATTGAGGTTAAAGTGATGAAACGTGCCAAGACAATTACCAAACAAATCCATTGCAACAGTTCCTGCGGTATAAACAGACAAACAACATTTTTTTTCTGTGCTGACATGCAAAATGTGTTAAATCACAATAAAGGTCTATGATTTTGTTGTTCTTTATAGCTGAGGCTGATAAACCTGCTGATTCCAGCGCTGAGGCTGAAGCTCCAGCTCCAGCTGCTGCTCCAGCTCCAGCTCCAGCTCCAGACAACCCAGAGGACAAATCTAAAGCAGACGCGGTCGATCAAAGCACCCCTGCTACTGTGGAGCCCAGTTCAGAGGAGAAAACTGACGATGAAGATGGAGTCTCCAGCAAAACCTCTGTGGAGTCCCTGAAGGAGACAAACGAGAACAACAGCAACAACGTTGACTCTGGTCAGATAAGAGGTTGGTGTTAGAACCATTACCTTAACCAAAGAGTCAATTATATTTAAGCTACTCATTTGTGCCACTATGAACCTTCCAGACTAACATTTACATGAAATCAAGTCAACATGAGGAGAGTCTTATTAGGCCTCTGAATCGGCCAAAAAATGTGATTAACCTGAAAATCCACCCAGCCAATCTCGTGTCTGTGCAGACAGGAAGTTTACAAGGTTTTCCCTGTTAGACTAGAAATCTAGACAAACAGTTGCAGTAGCTGAAGACTGTGCTCTGCAGTTCAGTCTAGCCTTGCAGGAGGTCTACCATTGGCCTGAACAATTCTAGGTGGGGCCAATCACAGCGCTTTATGTTTGTAGAGAAACGTTGGGCAGGCGTAGCACCAGAGCTGAGACAGAGAAAGACTACAAAGACGGCGTTGTCTCAGGAACGGCTTTGGCATCAACTTTGGATGCTTTAGACTTGGGCTGTTCTTTGAGAAATGAGCAGATAGAGGTACTTAAGTATTTATCTAAAAAAAAGTATGTATTTAATTGTACTTCTTTGATGGTGTATGGTGGACTGCCTTGTTGACTGATTTTTGTAGTAATGAAACCGTCACATTGTTAGTTGTTGTGATTGGCCCTAGTGTTGTCCAATTACGTGCAGACTGTGTTAAAAACAATCGTAGATCATTGCATGACTTTAAAGCTGTTTTACAGAAAACGATAACACAACTAAGCCTCAATGAGTTAAAAAATAAAGTTGTGATTAATTGTGATCTGTATTCCTGAGCCACAATTTATTGTTTTTCTCTCATTTTGGTAACTAAGGCTACTTGGTTAGTTGGCTGGAATTAGATTAAACAGACAGCAATAACACTGTGTTGAAAAAATCTAAGTGACACTTGGAGTTTAGATCCAACGGAGCCGTAGAAGGATAATATTTATATGTGAAAATGAGTTAATTGGAACACCTGAAGATAGAAACTGATTTTCTTAGACATTTAGAGGCGGGTTTGCATCAAACACAAGACTGATGAGCTAACAGCTAGGCCGAGCGCAGCCTAAACCTGTCATGTTGAGCCAGGAGGAGGTTAGGACCCAAGATGCAGAACACCAGATGACACGAGGCAGGAGCGAATGTAAAAAGTAAAATCCTTTATTTAGGATGGTGAACCAAAAATCCAAAGGGGCAGGAAGCCAAGCCTAGCAACTAAAACACTGAACTACAAAACAAAAGCTCACTTTATTGAACAGAACCTTGAGTTTCACGAGGAGGTCAGAACAACACTGACAACGACAATGGACCAGCAAACACTGAGACAAGACAGGGCTTTTAAACACAGAGGGAAGCAATCAGGGGAACAGGTGACAGGTATGAGGAGTGAGGTCTAGAGGGGAGACAGGTGCCATCAATAAACTAAATGGGGGAAAGAACTAAGCAGAGGGGGAGATATACCATAACCTATAAAACACTAAATAACTAAAGACTAAGGGCAAAGATAAACAACTAATGACTAGAGGAGTGAGGAGGACTAATACAAACCAATGGGAACTACAAGGGAGTGACTAGGAGGAAACATGAGGGAAGCCTAGAGGGAGCTGGGGAACACAAGGAGACACATGAGGAGAACCCGGAGTGGGCTGGGAAGCATAAGGACACACAGAGCACAAGGGGACACATGAGGGGAACGCAGAACACGACAAAACCAACATTACATGGTTGTTCATAAGGATTACTGACTGTTTACTAGTTTAAAATCTGTAGCAAAGAAGTAGAGTCTGGCAGGAATTTCTTGTTATTTTCAATTAAATTAAAGCCTCTTTCCAGAGTATTTCTCTTATCCGATGGCACCATCTAGTGGCTGACAAGCATATCACACAAAAAGTCTGTAGATCCAGTTTATTAAGATGGCGACTTCACGTTTCTTTTTTAGAAATGTCCTTCTGTAGCCGACAAACAGAGTTAAGACACGTTGTTTTACGAGTATTATTCTCATGTCATGTTGTAATCTCGTATATTTATATTTTAAAGACTTACTTGTCCGTGAAAATTTCATCAACTCTGCATCAGCTGAGGTATTCCTTAAATATGAAGCATGTAAGCTGTAGTCTAACTCTATTGGTTAGTTCTGGTCGGCGCTCAGTTTCCTATTGACCCTTTGCATGTGACGTCACGCCACTCATGTGACCGCCCCCTTCGCCATGATGGATGGCAAAAAGACCGTTTACACCCGTAGAAACTCCAGTGAAGGTAGTCAAAACAAGCCAGTTTGTAGCCTTTTATCGCTTTTATTTAGTTGATTTGATGGTAAAATGGTTTTAGCTTGTTGCGTGGTTGGCTGCACTAAGAGACAAGGACGTAAACTCAACTCATTTTTTCTTTTTAATAACTTTGATGGAGACTAAGGACAGAGATTAACTGCAGCGATCAATCAATCAAGCGGACTAGCAGGCCTCAGATTTGCAGCGAACATGTTTTTACCGGGTAAGATTAACGTTAATTTATTTCACGAGGAAGACAGGAACAGGGATAAATGAGATGTGCTTCTACTAGTTATTGATAATCCTGACGGATGGGTATTTCACCACGGATGATGCGCGCCGTCCACTGTAGTGTAAAGCGAGACAATTGTTAACAATATTAAAGCTCTGATAGATGATTACGTGTGTTAAAATTACGCTATTTATTTATATGAGTGTCGGCATTCAGAGATCTTCTCATTCCGGTGTGAGAGCAGCAGCTGAACCCGGTAACACCACCAGCAACAGGAGCTGGTAGGGATCCGGACTTTTTAAAAATCAGCTTAGGTGTAAAGTGAAACGCTGTTCACAACATAAAGTTATAAATCCAGAGAGGTGAATTTAGGCAAAGTCAGCAACATGTTTACATCGGTGAACAGCTGCAGAGAGAACGTAAGCTAACGTTGGTAAGCTAGTTAACATACCGCTGTCTATGAGCCCCGGCTAGATGCGCTACTTCCTCTGATAACTGAACTGGGCATGAACTAGTTGAAGGAATGCTGGAGGAGTTTTGTTTTTGTTTTGATCGCAAAAACAATTTCAGGCTCTACTTTTCCCTTTTTTTAGTACTCTTGTCGCTCACTGTTTACATGCTTTTGCCGTCCAGCATGGTGGACCCACGTGGTTAGGTGCAAAGGGTCAATTGCACAGAGCTCTGCGGGGCAAGGGGCGTGCTTAGCAAAAAATTAAAAATTAAAAAAAAAAAAGTATTGCTTACATTACATCACAGTACATGATAAAATAATCACTTTTACGGATTTCTGAAAAATTATACATAATTTCTGAAAGGGGAAAACTCTGGAAAGCTACTTTAACATCGAATGCAAAACAAGATCAGTGCAAATGTTGATAAAATGATGTCTTGATCTGCTTTGAAACTGGTAGAAACACACTCTGGTTTTTGGTGCATTGGGACTAGCTGTTAGCTCATCAGTCATTGTTAGGTAAATGCCTAGATACAAAGAACTGAGTAAGGAAAACACCAGACACAACAATTAAGTTTGACCTGCAAGGGGATTCAAGCACTAGCCAAGCCAGTCTCCTTCTCCAAAGTGCTTGTCTCCTGCACAGCCTTTTATTGGGATCACAACTTGCTCAACCAGTCATTTCATCTTGGTTACACCAGCATAAATTCCAGTACATCCTGTAATCATGGGTCAGTCTAACCTCAAGCAGACAAGCTAGTCAAACCGCACCCATATTTGCCCAGACTTCTATGAAACTAAGTTAGACAACATTCTTCATAACGTGGTTGTTCATGCACATGCTTTCCTTTTATTCTTACACAAGGAAAGAGGAATTAAAAGCACGCATTAATGTTCACCAAAATGAAATCAGTGATAACAAAGTTACATTTTATTTACAGTCATGTTGGCCTTTTTCACTGAACAGAAGCTGTTTGGAAATGCGTTTTAAAAAGGCAACCGCCACATTGTATTGAGCAGTTCTTGTATCAGCTGTTTGAGCTGATTTCTGTTGCTGATTGTTTCAAACTAACATGACGTAAATGACCAAAACACAAGTTTACATAAGAACTGCGAGTGTTTGTCTACAGAAAGGCACCAGCTGAGGGAAGTTCGTGTTGACGCTCCGGAATGAGAAGCAGCTGCCATCTTGTGTCCATGCCGTTCATCAGAAACAAGGTAAGGCTCCAGCCGACAGACGTTCAGCTGCAGCTGCTCATTCTGTCCAGGTGTTATTGAAAAGGCAAACCAGCTCCATCGTGGGATGCAAGTCAACATACTGCTTTTAACCAACTGGAGTGCTGTGTTACAGCTTCCTGTCCTGAATTAACGTATTAAAAATAGAAATGCCATAACCGTTCACTCTAAATTTATAAGATGTGCTTCCCCTAAACTGTAAATGATCTTGAAGACCTGTCATAAAGAAGTTTATTAATACGCAGCTAAGAATTAATGTGTGGATCACTTTCTAATAGTTTCTTTCTGGTTTAAAATAATTTTAATTGCTTTTTGACATATTAGAGCTTTTAATTTGTTTGTTTCCATCAAGGATTTTATATGTTTTTGATAATTAAAGGTTCAAAAAGACATTTTTATATCATTATCTGCATCCCACAATCACAAAAATGCATTGTGCTAGATGTCCCCTCCTTTGACAACTCCTGTCTTTACGGCCACAGACGGATGACATTCTTTTAACACGAGTAGTAGCTCGGGGCCCCTTCAGTCTAATCATCAGGTGCTTCAGGATGTGCCGACCAGGCCTGCACCTGTGCTGCGCCTCTTTTCCTTTCTGCTCGGAAACACTCAGTGCTTCAGCCTGGAGCAAAAAAAGAGTTCTCACCGCTCTTAAACAGCTGATGATAAGCTCACAGCTGAGCTGCAGAGTACCCAGAGTACAAATGCAACCAAAATACCACATGTACCTGAAAGAAAATCCACAAGTGAAAAACATTTTTATAATTGAAAACAAATTCAGGCATTAAAGGGTTAATAGATAACAATAACAGGAACACATCAAACTGTGTTCTTCAGGCCACACCTGAGCAATCTTTGGTTTACCCAGTTTGGTTGGGGGGTGACGGTTGGGAAAAGGTGGCTTTGTGATTAATTTTTTTTAATCAGGTATTAAAATCCGAATCAGTGGCAGGAAACAGAAGAGCAGCATTTGATCACCACAAAAGGCTCCTCCAAACATGGTAGTTATTTATTTATTGGGGTTTTTTTTTCTGTTTGCTTCACAGCCAGACAGGACACGGTAAAAAAATAAAATAAAAATAAAAATACATGGAAGTTTTAATATTTGGCTCCCATCAAGAAAACACAGAAAACTCTAAATAGCAAGCGAGACCAACAAAATGTATGGAAACGAAAAAGTGAAGAGTCCACTCTTTCCCACCTGGTTCAGGAAGTGATGAGCAGTTTGGAGTTGAAAGGCTGCAGAAGGAGATAACGGCTCTGAGCTGACAGGGCATAAACTAAATAAGTATAATTAACCGCTTTCTAGTTTGAGCAGCTTTCATGTACGGGAGTTAATGGTGGAGGAAATGGCAAAGAGGCAGAGAGGGAAGAGTGACAGACTGTTTTACTGTGTTTCTGTGGCGACAGTAGTAGTTTACAGAGGCAGGTCGGGTTCTGCTGGTGTTTCAAACAAATGACACACTCAAAAAAAATCTCTGATTCAATTAAAACCCCTAAAATGTTCTTTTATTTAAATACAGACTGGATCTCAATAGGAAGACAATAGAACTGTGTTAATGATTATCTCAATAATAACAGTGGAGAGATGCTTCATGCTGTTGAGGTTTGGTGTGGTTCACACAGGTACATCTGACCTGTGGGACTTTACAGATGGGTGGAACTGTTGGAACAAGAAAACGAACGTCCCCATTGGTGGAGACGACTGCCCATTCACATTTTATCCTGTAAAATATAATCTAAGTTTAAAAGCTTTACAATTTTTTTAAAGTTGTTAGTTTGTTTTATCATTGGCAAAAAATGTTATGGAAGATAGATTAAAAAAACTGAAACTGCTTAATCAACTAGACCACCCCTGGGGGTGCGCGAGGTGAAAAGTGTAATGGCTGCGGAGCTCAGAGAAGTCTGTCATATGTCACCATTAGCATAGCCAGAAACTCATTTGTGGGTGGGCCTAAGAAAAAGTAAGTGGGCCCAATAAATGTAACTGAAAACAAGTATATTTTTGCGTGTCCTCCACATGTGCCCTAGCTTCATAATAACAATGCGCCGAGCTTCAGCACTCTGGCCTGCGCACGCCGATACATTCCGTATCATTTTTAACGATGTTGGAGAAATCTGAAGGTGGTGAGTCATTCTGGCAGATTGTAATTAACACCCTGTCTCATGCAGGTGTTCTGACATTGTAAACCTCACACACAGAACATCGTGGATGTAACAAAATAAATCAAGAAATGATTCCCATTCAGGATATTAACAGCGCGCTGAAGATCTGAAGTTCAGAGTGCGTCTGTCAGAGGTCAGACGTGTTCCAGCGGAACCACGGCTCACGGGTGCACAAGTGAGCACATCTGGGCTGGGCAGAAGTAATTTTACAACATTGGTTTAAATAGCGCCGATAACGAGACGCGGTGACTTAAACGCTGCACATTGTGAAGCGCGTTCCATCCGCGAGCTGCATCACCAAGCGGAAAGTGAATGCGTTAAGCATAAACCAAGCTTCATGGAGCTGTGCCGCGCACACACACACACACACACACACAGATTCAATAAGCGCGCACACCGCGCAAACTCCGGCGCGCCGTCAGACTGAAGACAGAAATGAGCGCTGCCTCCTCTGTGATAAAAACTTTTAAGAGGTTTTATAACAACATTTTTCATTCCAGGTCAAATTAAGATATTAGCTTCCATGGACGTCACTAGGATTGAGATATAGGGGGGGCTTAGCCCCAGGAGCTTGACCTCGAACGTTTTTTGTCACACCCTGCAAAAACTTTGTCAATTAATTCATTATCTGAAGAACATTTAACAAAACCTATTATTTTATCACTTTCTTTTCCTTTCCTACTTTTGTGCATTTTCTCTCTTCTTTTCATAAAAAATAACACTTAATCAGTTCATTAGTGGGGTCTATGTTGAAGAAAGATTTTATGTAAGTCCATTAAAAATGAGATATGTTATATTTCCAAATAAAGCTATTCATTTCAGTCTACTGCACTTAACAGGGGGAAATGTTGTAGTCATTTATTTAATTTGTTTACTTACAACTTGTTTAATTATAACTGTTACTGAAATATGACAATAAAGAACAAATGAATAATTGTAAAACTTTTATTCTGCCAAATGAGTGTGCAGTTGACAGTTTTAATATATGAATAACACTGCTATGATATGGAATAAATGAGTGTGTAATTAACTATTACAAGACAAAATAACAGTATATATAAAAATATCCAGCAAGTAGTAGAACTTATAATACAGAAAGTCAACTATACAGATACAACTTGACATAAGGTTGCAGGCCAGATGATAATTATAGTTATTTTTTTCTCAATGTCTCTTACATGTTCACTCCTAAATAGAAAACTGTTCAATTTTGCTTGGGAACTGTGTGCTCAGGTAAATGCTCATAACGATGCGCTCGCCCCTGTTTTCTCTGTAGATCACTGACCTTGACCATGCAGATCTCCTCAGCATCAACCACCTGATCTCTCTCCTGTTCCTCACTCACTCTCTTAAAAAAGTCTTCGTATATCCATCTAGCCAACACATTGAAAAACATTTTCAATTTCTAATGCCAAGACAAATGCTACTATACCATTCAGTTTTCACTCACAATAATTGAAACAGCCATTGGTGGATAAATGGTACAGAATATGGACAACTGTTAGCCTAATATAGCCCATGTTTGGTTGCTCATGATGATGGCATTTTCCATAACATCACATCGAGCTGCCAAAATTTATGTTAAAGTTAGATGAGTACAATATCTCCTTTCTTTACCAAAGGTAAACATAGGAAATATTAAGCAACTGACAACCCACATGGAAAGAAGTCATAAACATATAGGTTTTAATATATGTTTTGATGTAGCTTTTGAATATATGTGACATATACAAAACTGGCTGTTTACTATATTATAGATACATATATGTACCTATAATATATTATATATATATTATAGAAAAATATATATAATATAGAAAAATTGTCAATAATATACACATTCGGCCAGATTCTGATTCAGGTTTTTAGTGTGGAGTGATTTTTGTGCCACCAACTGGAGCGTGCAGTGATCAATCTGCAAGAGCACAACGTCGTATGCAGCCCTCTCTCTGCATGCTCAACTCCGTCTCTGCCTGCACAAATCTCCCTGCTGTTGCTCAATTTGCAATTTACAAAGCAATGTATCCTCTCCGTCAGCCAATCAGAGAGCTCTCCATTATGCAATGAAAGCATGTCCAGGAAATACTGGCAGGAAAATTGCACTTTTTTCAGATAAAGAGGACTTTATATAATTATATTTAATTAGGTTGATTAACCCTCCTCTTTTCCTGGGACATTTCCACTGTTCACTTCCTTTTACACACCAAGGGATCATTTATGTCTGACCAAACAGAGAAGAAACACTTTATATGTTGAAATTAAAAGTCATTTTTAACTGAAAAGAGTGCAATTTAACAGTTTTAGGAATAGGCAATGTGTCTTTTCTGGAAGTCAAATATGGTCACCCTAATCATGACACATGAATTACAACAAAGTATCTTGCAGGCAGTGGATGGTGACTGGTAGCTAACCAGCAGCAGAAAGCAGTTTAATAAGCTGTTAAATGGGTGTTTTTCTGTAAAGCAGTGTTTCCTGGACATGCTTTGGTTGGATAAAACAGAGCTGTCTGTGATTGACTGTTGGAGAGGCTACTTGTTGAGGAGAGCAGGGAGAGATTTGCATGTGCAGAATTGATCCCATAGAGAGGGCTGCAGCTGCTGCACACAAGTGCAGAACAGGTTCTGTTTGTGCAGACTCATTACTGTACGCTCAAGTTGGTGGCACTAAGTCACTCAATGAACTGGCTGGGTGGTTAATCATGTCACTTCAGGGGAGTTTTCCGACCATTTTACTTGACATCAAAGCTTTTCATTATGGTTTGCGGCATGTAAACATGCTAGCGGAGTTAGCATTAGCATGTCGGTGCGGTAACATTT